TTTGGTGCAACTTAAGGATCCCTCCTACTTCCCCAGCCAGCCCCAATATTCTTTATCTACAGCAGCTCTCATTGGCTTAGAGCCAATCATAAAAGACTAATAAGGATACATTAGGCCCACACATTCATCATTCAACACCCCCATACTGGCAGTAAAAAAGCTTAATGGCACTTACCGCCTGGTTCAAGATCTTCACCTCATTAATTTCACTATTAAACCCATCCATCCGCTTTTTGTCACAAATTCCTACCGTAACCACCCACTTTTCTGTCATCAACTTAAAGGACTAAACTACTTCCTTTAGCCTTTCTCTGTCTGCAAGCCCTGCCTAAGAAGCCCTCATCTCTCTCTCTCTTTGAGGTCATGTATGGACGCCCAATCCTTCTCCCGGCCTTACCCCATCATCTTGGCTCATTCCCAGTCACTACGCATTACCACTTCTTTCTCATCTCCGTGCTGAGATCTGGAAACATCAGGACTGGCTTCTTCCAGATCTGGAAGCCTCCCAGATCCCTCTCTCCATGTTACCTGACCAATCTTCCCTCTTTAATCCGCCAGGAGACAAGGGTCCCCTACTACCGAAGTGGGAAAGTCCAACACAAGTTGTATTATGTATTCCAACTGTACCCAGGCTAGCACTCCCTAATAACCAATTAACTCCTTGGATTCATATTTCCAGGCTCAAGCCGACCTACGATTCATCTGCATGCGGAGCAGTCTAAGCTCCATCTGTCTCGGGTAGCGCTTCTTGAACCCATATTGGAAAATGAACCCCTGGGTTTCTAAGCCGCTCCTTTTCTTAATTCTCATAAGCCTTATTCTTATGGTCTCTTCTTCCCCTTATGTCTGGAGATTAAAGGCTAGACAAACCTATACTGAAAAAAATACTATAACTACAGCCCTAACTGCAATGGCAGACTGCCCCCTGCATGGTTGCTCTGACACTGAGTATTTATCCTTACTTGCCTCAACAAAACTTATTCAGCAGTCCTCGAGGCCATATCTTTGTTTCCTATATGATCAATGGGATGAACAATGCCGTTGGTGGCCAGAGGTATATGGGGGAATGTCCATATTCAGGCCAATTAAACATGGGACTATTCTCCTATGTTAGCCAGATTCAAAAATATAACACCACCATCAAGGACCCATGGGACCCACAATGGGCTGCAGGGGTCACCGCCTTCTTTTATCTCAAGTTTCTCGAGTGTCTTCTGACATTCTGCATTCAGAAGAGGTTATCATATAGGCAATTCGAGACTCCTCTTCCTCTTCAGCCTCTTCTTCACCTACAATGTCTTACTCTTGGCTCCAGATCCTAATGGATACTTAACAAAACATCAATAAACTTAATGATCTGGCAGCAGGCTAACGGAAGACATCTCAAACCTCTCCTTTTTTCTTCTGGCTCCAGTCACCCCTCTTGACATGGATGTTGCCAATAATTGGACTGCTCTCCATTATTCTGTTGGCCTGCCTCTTTCTCCCTTGCATGATTAAATTTTCTCAAAATCAGATAGCAAAAATCTCTAACCAATATTTTAACCAGCTCCTTCTTAGGAATTACCAACTACTGGCCCCAGAAGATTCTAATCAGTCTTCTACCACTCAACTCACGGCCTGCTAAATGGCAGATCCATGGAAAACCTTTTTGGACGCCCTTCACCATGAACACTGAGGAAGATTAGTGGGATGCGATCCAGGACCTATGGTTTCAGGGTACTTTTTTGGACCTGGCCCCATCAGAAGTCTTTAGTTTTTCGGTGCTGCTTTGGGGATTAACCTCAGGGTAATCCAGTGTTTTCCCCGCCCCTTCCTGGCAACGCCCCTGCTCAGCAGGAAGCAGTCAGAACGAACGCCGAACCTACACCCATTATTAAACTAAAAAGGGGAAAATATTGGGTTACCTGCCCCAAGATGGTGCTGACTAGGCTTCTCTTCTGGGTCTGTTTCCCACTTCATGCAGATTAAGGCACCAATAAGTCACCAATGGGGCACTGACAAAACCATTCTAATGACTATAATCCAATGAGAATTTGCCTCCTGTCCTAAGGGGCTCTACCTACCCTGGATAAAAGGCTCTGCTCTACTGGAATAAACGAACTTCTCCGATGGGTAACTCCATGTCTCGGTTTCAGTTCTTTCAGTGATCCTCCTTCCTTAGCATCCTAGGGCACTGAGATTATAGAAAAGTGCTACTGCACCCAGCTGGAAATTTTTTTTTACACAGGGTTAGATGATGAAGTTTTAGTTTTTGCAGACCAAGAGGCAAAAATCAAAGATAATTTTTATGTATGCATATAGTCAATTAAAATACTGCTATTTGAAAAATGCAAAGACATTTCTTAATTCAGAGCTGAGCAAAAACAGATCATGGGCCAGTGGCCTTGAGACAAAACTTATCAACTTCTGATGCAGATACATAGATAAAATAGATATAGATCATATATGGGAAAACAAGCAATTGTTGAATCCAACTAGGTACATGGATAATCATTGTACTAGTCTTTCAAATTCTGTCTTTAAAGATTTTTAAAGATAATAATTGGAAGAAAATGAAAATATATAAAAATAATAATGAAAATAAATATGCATAAGGCTAGCATCCAGAGATGAACACCATTAACATCTCAGTAAATTAATTTTTAGTTTATGGAGCTTGTGTTTTTTATTCCAAGTCTTATAAGATCCTATTCCATATAAAATTTTATAGCTTGCTATTTCATTTAACATGTAATCCCAGTAACTGGGTTAGTGGGGTAGCCAAGGCAGGAAGATCACAAGTTCAAGGCTAGCCTCAACAACTTAGGGAGGCCCTCAGCAACTTATCAAGGATTTAATCCCCAGTACAAAAAAAATTTTATAATTACTATAAATAAAGATATTAGTTGTGTATGTGTATATATATGTGTCTTTGTTTCATACATAATATAGGGAAAAAAGGAGAAAAGATAGTAAAAATTGATGGTCAATAATACTAGAAAAGCCAGGTGCAGGGGCACATGCATTTAATCCCCGAAACTGAAGAGGCTAAGGCAATAGAATTACAAGTTTGAGGCTTGTTACAGCAACTTAACAAGATCTTGTCTCAAAAAAATAAAAAAGGCTAAGAACGTGGCTCAGTAGTAAAGTGTCCCTGGGTTTAATTCCCAGTATAAAAAAAAAATACTACTAGAAAGTATCCATATCTTAAAGTCCTTGTCCTTGTAAATAGTTACTTGAGAGGATAAAGTAAATAATAGGAATAATGAAGAAATAAAGAAAGTTTTTTGATTGTACTAAAATATGTATAATATAAACTTTGCCATTTTAACCATTTTAATTGTACAGCTCAGTGGCATTCAGTATATTCATAATATTGTGCAACTATCACCACTAACCATTTCCAGAACTTTTTCATAATTCCAAACAGAAACTCCATACACATTAAAAAATAACTCCCCATTACTCACTCTTCTTAGACTCTGGTAACCTCTGTTCTACTTTTCTTCTCTGAGAATTTGTCTATTCTGAGTATCTCATATAAGCAGAACCATACAGTATTTTTTCTTTTGTGTCCTGCTTATTTCACTTAGTATAACACTTTTCAAGATTCATCCATGTTGTAACATGTATCAAAATTTTATTCCTTCTTAAAATTCAATAATATTCCAAGTATGTGTGCATATCACATTTGCTTATCCATTGATTGAACACTTAATTTGCTTCACCTTGCAGCCATTGTGAATAATACTGTTCTGATTATGGGTATGCAAATCTCTCTTTGGGACTCTGCTTTCAATTATTTTGAATATATACCTAGAAGTAGAACTGCTGGGTAATATGGTAATTCTATGTTCAACATTTTGAGAAAATACCAAACTGTTTTCTGAACAAAGATTTTGATAATATTACATTGGCTATTAAAGATCTTTTCTCCTCAATGTCTGTTCACTTACTGGTTCATAAGGCCAGACCATGATCTGGCCCTAGTACCTGCCCAGTCTTATCTTCTAGCTGGTTCCATCCTTCATTTCATTAAGTCATACTGGCTGCTTATCCACCTGACTCATGGTCTTTGCATAGAAACTTCTCTCCAGATGCACAGAGCCCACACCTAGTTTGCTCAAGCTTTTACTCCAACGTCACCTCTTGAGAGGCTGGCCTACTCGACTACCCTATCAAAGTAACAGTAATTTTCATTTTCTTTCTAGTACTTACCATTACACAATCAATGGTATGGGTATTTGCTTTTTTCTGTCTATCCTAGCTCCAGGAGGGCAGAAATTTTGTCTACAATATTGGTTGCTATAAGCCCTGTAAAGAGTCTCGTATTCAGTAATTGTTAAATAAGTATGTGTTAGATGAATACCAGTCTGGGGTCCAACCATGGTAGGGACTAGGCCTTAATTTGCTAGAATAGTAGGTCTCATCCAAAACTTCTTAGACTGATATGTTTGGTATATTTATTATAGTTGTGGTTATGCTGCATAATAATCCCTTCTATGAATCTACTATGCATGAGTTATGACACAATCTCTTATGTGTAAGTTATGTGATAACATTTGTTGCTTTTCTAGTTTTTAATTTGAAATTTTTTAAAAACTTTTAATTAGTTGAAACATTTTTAAACTATGGAAAATATACAAGAACAGTACAATGAATACCACATGACTTCCACCCAACTACACCAGTTGTTAATGGTTTTACACCTGTGCCTTATATCTCCCTCCCCATAGTCATTATTTGTTATTGTATTTGAGAATCTTGAGAAAATTGCCCTTAAATTTCTTGTTAAACTATTCAAAATCTTCTAAAGAGCTGACTTTCTCAGGATTTCCAATTTTCAAATCAAATGTCCTCTGAGATATAACTAATCTTGAATAAATCAATTAAATGACACTACTGTATTTTACTACTGATTATACTCCAGCCCAATTTTCATGATTAGCAAGAGAAAGGCCCTGGGTTCAATTCCCAGAACCACAAGTGAAAAAAGAAAGGAAGAAAAGAAAAAAAAATGAACAAACCCAAAAGATATTTTTAATAATAATGTCAAATTAACTTTTTGCCAATTAAAGTTAACTTCATGTATTGGGAATTAGAGTTAATAGTTCCCTAATAGTTCCCTAAAGGTATGTACTTTTATCTTGTAAATACTCAAATGCAGAGAAAGAATTCAGCTCCAAACACGTTTTGTCAAAATTAGTATATATGTTCAAGTGTTATATCACACCTTCTTGTAATTTCTCTTTATATAGATTTTGTTCTCCCTCTGTCTTCATTGCAGCTTTGTGGGAAAATTCACCAAGTCTCTGAAATAAAGAGATAGAGGCTTTTAATGTTTTTCTTTTGCTCTACTGCCATCTCATGGACATAAAAGAGAATTCTGAGCTCAGTAAAAACAAAATTTGCTTGTTTATCTTGGGACACAGCATATTTTACTATAAAATAAACTCTTGGAAACTTACAACTATCATAGTCTTATTTCTTTGCTATGGATTAAGTAAAATTCTTAGCAAAACCATACTTCAAAAAATCCACCATACACGTATTTCACATTGTCCTGAAAACAATACAGGCATTAAGGCTTGGTTTTGTTAGTGACCTTTTGGTCCATTTGGCCTCACAAAGGAGGCCTCCATTTTCCATTTCTATACAGTCATATCTTCAGATATTTGGCAAGGTTATATTCCTTCTTTCAAGTGTTGCAAGTTGGGAGCAGGGAGAAGAAACTAGAGAAAGTCAAAAGAAAGAGGAAGAGAATAAGATAGGGGTATAGATGATAAGGGCAAAAAGACACTAAAGAAATTAAACAGTGGGATGAGAGAAAGTAGAGAGGGAAAGGCATATAATGCTAGAGTAAGAGACTGGGATATGGTTTGAGTATGTTCCTCAAAGTCTCATGTAATGAAAGCATGATCTCTGGTATGGCAACATTGAGAGGTGGTGAGAACTTTTAAGACGTGGGACCTCATGGGAGATTATTAGGTCATCATCCTTAGAAGATATTAACATAGTTCTCACAAAAGACCAGTTTTTGTGAGATTATCATTATAAAAGTTATTATAAAAAGGATAAATCTGACCCCAAAATCTCTCTGATTTCCTGTCTTTCCATGTAATCTCTTGTGCTTACAGAAGGTTCCCTTTTCCTTTCTCTACAATGTTGTGACACAGCTAGGAGGTCCTTGCCAAGAGACTGGCACCATGCTGTTTGAACCCTCCAGCCACCAGAACTGTGAGCTAAATAAACCTCCTTTATTTACAAGTAACACAGTCTCAGTGATTTTTTTATGTAATAGAAAATAGACTAATACAGCTGGGCATGTTGGTGCATGACTATAATCCCAGTGTTTCCAGAGGCTGAGGCAGGGGATTGCAAGTTCAAAGCCAGCCTCAGCAACTTAGCAAGATCCTGTCTCAAAATAAAAAATTAAAAAGTACCTCTGTGTTCAGTCCCCAATACCAAAAAAAAAAAAAAACTAATTCAGAGACTCAAGAAGGTATAATGACAATGAAATACAAGGGGCGGACTGGGGGTGCAGCTCAGTAGTAGCATGATTGTGAGGCCCTAGGTTTAAGTACGAAGGAAGGAAGGAAGGAAGAAAGGAAGGAAGGAAGGAAAGAAAGAAAGAAAGGAAGGGAGGGAGAGAGCAAAAGAAAGAAAAATTATAAAGAAATAATTTGAGGAAGGAAGGAAGGGTAGATATTAATTAATAGAAGAAACAAGGTAAAAAGAAGGAAAAGAAAGAAATGGAGAGAACAAAGGAGTGGACTTGTCACTTGTTGTTCGTTTTTTAACCTCAAGAGGGACACCTGGCCAGATCAATGCACTTGCATCTTGAGCAGTTTAGAAACCTTCAATGGTCCCTAACCCCACATCCCATTCCCCTAACACCCAGAGTTGCACATGTGTGCAGTGGTCCTGATGTCCCCTCCCCTGCTCTGTTCATTCCCCAGTACTCATCATCTCCTTTCCTATCATCTAATTGGCTTATTTGTTAAGCTTTCTATTCATTGCTGGATTTTCCCTATCCCTGTTGGAATGCAACCTACAGAAAGGCAAAAATTTTTATCTTTTAGTCTTTCCTGATTTGTTTGTTTGTTTTTACAGGGATTCAATCCAGCGGTGCTTAACCACTTGGCCACATCCCCAGCCTTTTTTTATTTTTTGAGACAGGCTTTCTCTAAGTTGCCAAGTCTGGCTTTGAACTTGCCATCCACCTGCCTCAGCCTCCCTTGTCACTGGGATTATAGGCATTGCACCACACACCTAGTTCTTTCTTGTTTTGTTCACTGAATTTACCCCCACTTGATCAGAGTATAAAGCCTGGCATACATATGACAAGCACTTAATAAATATTTATGAAATAAATGAACAAAAGGAATAAATGAAGAGAATGTATATTTGCATAATTTCCTTTGCTCTGTGACTGATACCTTTTCCCATAGGCAGAACACATTTTCATTCACAGGCTTCATATTTCATTCACAGTAAAAGATCACATTCATTACCTATGGTATTTTGTTGTTGTTTGTATCCTAAGGAGAAGGGCAATGTTGCTTCCTTTCTTTAACTACTGTTTCACTCAAATAAACATTGATTCTGTTTATCAAAAACAGAGAAACCATATAATACTAGACATTGTATGACTAGATATTACACAATACCATACGTCAAAAATAGATATTTTGCTAGGAACCCTGTGATGATAGCATGGAATAACTCTTTAAAAACAATAAAGCAAACTAGACAAGATATAGATTCTCAGTGCAAGCTAAATCTTGGAAATGATGTTATAAAGCAATAAAACCAAATTTTAAAAGGTTGGTTTTTCCTTCTATCTAGTGACAGCCTTATTTGTTTTGTGGGCCTAGGAATTTAACCAAGGGACTTGCACATAATAAGCATGCACTCTACCATTGGGCTACATCCCCAGCCAAATAACTATAATAAATTTCTCCTTTCCCTACATTTTACTCTTTGTAAATTATTATAGATATCTTCTTAGATTCCCAATTCCTGATTCAGATAAAGTAATCACTATGAATTTCTGAATCATGAGCCTTGTATAAACAAAAAAAATTATAAAGAACTAATTTTAAAAATTATGTTAAGAATGGATTTCATCCTAGGGGTGCAAGGTTATTTCAACATATGCAAATCAACATAATTTACCACAAAATAATAATTAGAAGAATCACATTATCATCTCAATAGATACAGAAAAAGCATTAGAAGAATTAAGTATAGCACCCATTCATGTTTAAAACTAGAGAAAATAGGGATAGAAAAAAACTTACCTCAACATTATAGGACTACATATAACAAACACAAAGCTAACATCATTCGGAACAAAGAAAAAACTTAAAGCATTTCTTCTAAAACAGGAACAAGACAAGAATATCCATTCACACCACTCCTATTCAACATAATCCTTAAAACTCTAGCTAGAATGATCAGACAAGAGAAGGAAATTAAAGGGATATAAATAGGAAAATAAGATGACAAATTATCAATTTGCTGATGAGATGATCCCATTATTTAGAAGACCCAAAAAAACTCCACCAGAAGTCTTCTTAAGCTGACAAACAAAGTAGCAGGGTACAAGATAAATACATAAATCATTTCCCTATACTCCAATAAATCTGCTGAAAAATAAATTAACACTGAAGTATGAAATTGAAGAAGACATTAGAAGATGGAAAGACATCCCATGTTCTTAGATAGGCAGGATTATTAATACTGCATGACCATCAAAATGGCCATACTAACAAAAACATTATGAAGATTCAATGCAGTTCCCATCAAAATACCAATGACATTTCTTACAGAACTAGAAAAAATAATCTGATGTGGTGGTGCATGCCTGTAACCTCCCAAATTCAGGAGGCTGAGGCAGAAGGATCACAAGTTCAAGATGATCCTCAGCAACTTAGCAAGACCCTCAGCAACTAGTAAGATACTGTCTTAGGGGAATTAAAGGAAGGGAAGGAGGACAGAAGCAGGAAAGATGGTGAAATTATTCAGACCTAACTTTCCTATGTACATATATGAATACACCAGTTTGAATCATTATTCTAAGTACATGTATGATTGCACTAATGCTGTGACTCTACTTCATGTACAACCAGAGAAGTAAAACTTTCTGCTCCATTTTTGTACAATGAATCAAAGAGATTTCTACTATCATGTATAACTGATGAGAACTAATTTTTAAAAAATTAAATTAATACACTATAGTGAATTCCTACATCATGTACAAGCATAAGACTGGGATCCTAATTAGAATAAGATGGACTCCATGTTTGTATAAATAAGTCAAATTATACTCTACTGTCATGTATAACTTTAAGAACAAAAATTTTTTAAAAATTTTAAAAAGAATGACACCCCCCACACACAGTCTCAAAATACAACTCAAAAAAGAGCTGGGTTTGTAACTTAGTGATAGAGTGCCTTTGTTCAATCCTCACTACTGAAAAAAACTAGAAGAAACAGTTCTAAAATTCATTAGAAAGGACAGGAGACCCAGAGTAGCCAAAGCAATCCTGAGCAAGAGCAATGCTGGAGGCATCATAATATCATATTTCAAATTATACTAGAGTTATAGTAATAAAAAAGCATAGTATTGGCACCAAAACAGACACGAAGATCAATGAAAGATAATAGAAGACACAGAGACAAATACACATAGATACAGTCATCTCATACTTGACAAAATTGCCAAAAACATACCCTGAAGAAAAGACAGTCTTTTGAACAAATGGAGAGCCATATGTAGAAAAATGAAACTGGATCAAAGCGGATCAAAGACCTAAGAAGTAAACCAGAAACTCTGCCACTGCTAGAAGAAAATGTGTTGGCTCAACACTCCAACACATAGGCCCAGGCAACAACTTTCTCAATAGGATCCCTAAAGTTCAGGAAATTGTACCAAGAATTAATAAATGTATATCCATAATGTACTAATTTTAAAAAAAACTGTATAGAAGAAAGGTCTGCAGTGTAGAGGAAAGGGAACAAAGCAAGGGAGGAGAGAAGAAAAAGGAAAGTACTGGGGATTGAATTAGAGCAAATTATATTTTATACTTGTAAAATTATGTCAAAATGAGGGCTGAGGTTGTAGCTCAGTGTCAGAACACTTGCCTAGCAGGTGTGAGGCAGTGGGTTCAATTCTCAGCACAGAATATAAATAAATGAATAAAGTATAGAGGTTCGTCAACAACTGAAAAAAAAACGTTTAAAAAATGAACCACAATGTTATGTATAACTATAAGGCACTAATGAAAAATATTTTTAAAGAAGAGCATTTTCAAAAATTACTTATGAAAAAAAATTATTTATGAAGCTAGGCATGTTGGCACATACCTGTAATCCCAGTGACTTAGAAGCCTGAGGCAGAATGCAGCAGGATGATCCTAAATTCAAAGGCTAGCTTCAGCAACTCATGAGACTCAGCAATTTAGGGATACTCTGTTTCAAAATAAAACAATAAAATAGGCTGAGGTGTGTAGCTCAGTGGTAAAGTGCTACAAGGTTCAAAAGAAAAATAATTACTTAAGAACAAGAAGATTACATGAGAATCTACTGAAATATTTTAAAAAGGAACAGAGAAGCAAGAAGTGATGGCACACACTTATAATCCCAGCACTAGGAAGGCTAAGGTAGGAAGATAGCAAGTTCAAGGTTAGCCTGGGCAACAAAAAGACCTTGTCTCACAATAAAAAGGCCTGAAGGAGAGTAGCTCATTTATAGAGCACCTGTACTCCGAAAAAAAAGGAAAAGGAAAAAAAAATGGGGAGTTGACATAGAAAAGTTTAAAGAAGACAGTTTCTCAAGTATCTATACCCTTCTTTACCTTATTTGGTACTCCAAATATTATTTTGGCATAGGTGAAACCAAGTAGTATCCTTAGCTGCATTGATTTTTGGTGGAAAACTGGATTCATACTTTCCCCTGCCCTTCTCAGCCTCCCACTGCCATGGAAATGAGAGATGAGCCAGTTCAGGACTTTGGGTCTCTTCTCACCTTCCACCAGACCATCATGGAATCTGAAATAAATCCTAGAGGGTAAATGGAGCAAAGGTTGAGGATCTCAACTGGGAGCCTCTGAAAGGTTTGATAAAACACAGTTTGGTTTATAAACAAATTAAGTAAACTCTCGATTTTATATTATGTACTTGTAAAATGGTCACATAATTCTAGTGATTTTTTAAAAATATTTTTTAGTTGTCAATGAACCTTTATTTTAATTTACATATAATGCTGAGAATCAAACCCAATACCTCATAAATGCTAAGCAAGTGATCTATCACTGAGCGACAACCCCAGACCCTCTATGTGATCTTTAAGGTAAAGGATTCCAGATGATGAGACCTTAGATTAGTTTGAAACTGACTTTAATTTTGGAGATGAATGGTCTTGCCAACTCTTTTTTTATTTGAAATACGTTAAAGAAAATAACTATGACTATTCACTCACTCTTTCTCCCACCCTGGTTCCAATCAGTGAAGAAATAATACACAGAGACAGATGTAGTGGCACATGCTTATAATTCCAGCAACTCAGAAGGCTGAGACAGGAGGACCACAATCACAAGTTCAAGGCCAACTTCAGCAATTTGCAAGATCCTGTCTCAAAATAAAAAGGGTTAGGGATGTAGCTCTCTGGTAAATGCCCCAAAGTTTAATTCCCAGTACCAAATGTAAGTGGAGAGAGAGCCAAACAACCCATTTCTAAGAAAAGTAATCCATCCTATGAAAAAGGCATTAAACCCTCCCAAGAGTAGTACCCCTAATACTTAACCATCTTCTACTAGGCCCCACCTCTTAAAGGTTCCACCACCTCGATACCACCACATTGGGGATCAAGATTACATGACATGAAATCCTTGGGGATACACTCAAACCATACCCAAATCAAAATAATGAGTGTTTCAGATGGAGGGCTGTGGATCCCAGTGGCACTTGAGGTATTTTCAGGAACAAGCCAGTGGTCAAAGGTACAATCCACATTCAAGTTTCCAATAGAATGGATCCTAAAAGAGGAACTATTGAAATGGTACCCAATGACTGAACAGATAGGCCTTAATTCTTGTTTGCTATACCTGTTTCTCAGCTGGGGCAGAAAATGTATCACGTTTTCATATACTATCCAACCCTGTACCCAAGAAGATGCTAGAACTTCCAAAAAATCTTAATACAATATCAAAACTATGATTGCAAATGTACCACCTGACACGCTGAAGACCTAGTCCAAATTCCTTAGAGAACAATTAATCATATATTAGAATATTATTCAGCCTTAAATAGGAAGGAAATTCTGACACATGCTACAACATGGCTGAATCTTGAGGATGATTATCTTTTTTTTTTTTTTTTGGTACCAGGGATTGAACTCAGGGGTACTCAACTACTGAGCCACATCCTTAGCCCTTTTTTGTATTTTACTTAGAGAAAGGGTCTCACTGAGTTGCTTAGTTCCTTGCTAAGTTGCTGAGGCTGGCTTTCAACTCATATCCTCCTATCTCAGCCTCCCAAGCTGCTGGGATTACAGGCATGTGACATGGCACCCAGCTTGAGGACAATATCTAAGTGATATAAGCCAGTCACAAAGAGATAGATATTACATGATTCCACTTATATGAGTTGCTTAGAGTAGCAAATTCATAAAGACCTACAGAAGAATGGGTGTTGACAGGAGCTGAGGGATAAGGGAATGGGGAGTTACTGTTTAATAAGTATAGAGTTTTCATCTGGAACTTTTTCCAGATGAAAAAGTTCTGGAGATACATGATAATAATAATTATACAACAATGTAAATGTACTTAAGCCACTGAAACATGCACTTAAAAATGGTTAAGATGGTAAATTTAATATTAGTATATTTTAATCACAATTTTTAACTTTTCTCTTTAATAAAAAATAAAGATTCTTGCCGGGTGCAGTAGTACATGCCTGAAATCCCAGCTGATACAGGAGGATCTTGAGTTCAAAGCCAGCCTCAGCAACTTTGCAAGGCACTAAGCAACTCAGTGAGACCTTGTCTCTAAATAAAATACAAAATAGGGATAGGGATGTGGCTCAGTGGTTGAGTGCCCCTGAGTTCAATTCCCAGTATCTATAAATAAATAAATAAATAATCCTACTTAGTCCAATTGTGGAACTAAGAACACTTTTTATTATTTTCTCCAACCCTTAACTGTCCAATGCTGGCAGATTACAACAAAATAATTAAGGTAACTAAAGTCTCTCTCAGCAAATATTAAGTTTACATAGCTCTGTTCCACGGAGGAAGAGGTCCACAGAGGACCTCCCTCCAACATTTCCCTCTCCAGACCTACACTGGGAGGAGAGCTTTCACTCTACATTTTTTCCATCTCAAAGGAAGAGAAACACCTCTTCTGATTGGTGATGGTTGATGTTAAGAGTGTATAGTTCACTGGTGATCAAAGTCCTAGAGTTAGAGAGTTCACTGTATGTGTCCTTATCTTTGTTAGGTAAGCAGACTATGCTGGGAAATCAGCAAATCAAAAATTCTCTTTCAGCTCCACCTCCTCTGCCTGTGTCTGGTATGAGTCAGATCATCCTCATGGGATGGACCTGACTGAATTTGGTTTCGAGTTTTCAGAAATAGGAAGTTCCTTCTGGCCTGGAAACCGAAAGCTTTTCTCATCTCAGTTTCACAAGAGCTGGCCTGAATTTAGAGTTCTACTGGGGGAAAAGAATGTATCAATCTCCTTCTGGATGGGATCTTTTTTTTTTAATTTATCTGTTCTAATTTGTTATACATGTCAGCGGAATGCATTTTGATTCATAGTACGCTAATGGAGCACAATTTTTCATTTCTCTGGTTGTACACAAAGTAGCCACGTAATTTGTTTCTTCATACATGTACCTAGGGTAATAATGTCCATCTCATTCTACCATCTTTCCTATCCCTGTGCCCTCTCCCTTCCCCTCCCTCCCTTTTGCCCTATCCAAAGTTCCTTCATTCCCCCCCCACCAATTATGGATCAGCATCCACTTATCAGAGAAAACATTTGGCCTTTGGTTTTTTGGAATTGGCTTACTTCACTTAGCATGATATTCTCCAACTCCATCCATTTACCTGCCAATGCCATAATTTCATTCTCTTTTAATGCTGAGTAATATTCCATTGTGTATACATACCACAGTTTCTTTATCCATTCATTTATTGAAGGGCATCTAGGTGGCTTCCACAATTTAGCTATTATGAATTGTGCTGCTATAAACACTGATGTGGCTGCATCACTGTAGTATGCTGTTTTATGTCCCTTTGCGTATAAACCAAGCTGTAGGGGATCTTGAGCCTGTCCTCCACTGGCAGAAAGTTGGCAGAAACAAAAGAGTAGAGCATACAAGCTTCATTCCCTGAATCACTATGAAATTACCTTCTAAAAATAAGAAAAGTAGGACAAACATTCAAAAACAAAATCTTTTCAACTGAACACATTTCACTTTATAAATCTGGTACCTTTCCAGGTGTGACAACACATGTCTGTAATCCTTGCCACACAGAAGGCGGAGGCAGGAGGATCACAAGTTTAAGGACAGCCTCAGCAACTTAAAGAGGCCTGTCTCAAAATAAAAAATAAAAGGGCTGGGGATATAATTCATTGACTGCCCCTGAGTTTTATTCCTATGCTGGGGGCGGTGAGGGACTTGCTACATTCTTACTTTGTCTTTCAGTTTGTCCAAATTGAGGATAATTTCCTAATCATCACAAGTCTATAAAGCTGTATTTGATATTCTTCTGAAGCACTTTTTTACTCTAAAATTCTATATTATGATACTCTCCCTTTATCCACAAAGGATATATTCCAAAACCTCCAGTGGATACCTAAAATCATGGATGTACTAAACTCTATACTAGCTATATTTTTTCTATATATATATACCTATTATAAAGTTTAATATAAATTAAGCCCAGTAAGAGATTAATGCTAACAACAGAACAATAACAACAATGTACTATAATAAAAGTCATGGGAATATGGTCCCTTTCTCAAAATGTTATCGTGGCCAGGTGCAGTGGCACACACATGTAATCCCAGCGGCTCAAGAGGATCATGAGTTCAAAGCCAGCTCAGCAAAAGTGAGGTACTAAGCAAACAGTGAGACTCTGTCTCTAAATAAAACACAAAATAGGGTTGGGGATGTGGCTCAGTGGTTGAGTGCCCCCGAGTTCAATCCCCAGTACCAAAACACATATATTATTGTGCTACACTACTTAACCTTATGTGTGATGATATATTGCTTTCACAATAAGAAGGTGAGTGGTATAGGCATTGGTTATAGAGCACCATATTACTAACAAGCTTTTGACAATATAAGATGAAGCATTTTTTTTTCTTGTGGTACCGGAGATTGTACCCAGTTTAGTGGTAGAGAGGTGTTCTACCACTAAACTTTACAGCCCAGCCCTTTTTATTTTTATTTTGAGACAAGGTCATACTAAGTTGCCCAGGATGGCCTCAAATTTGGGATCCTCTTGCCTCAACATCCTAGATCAGTGTGAATACAGGCATGTACCATCATAACTGACCAGAAAACCATTAAGCCATATGATTCCTGTTAACTGCAGATAACAGAAACCACAGAAAGACAATCACAGACAAGGGGGACTACTGTATTGCTTCACCATGCTTCCCATAACCTCAGGAAATAGAGGAGATAACAGAAGACTAGAGTGGAAACCAAGGCTTAGTGCCTATAGTCAGCTTTCCTGAGGTAGCCAACTTACCAAGAGAAAAGTTTTAATTTGTCTCAAGGTCTTGGGAGGTTTCATTCCATGGTTGATCTGTCCTGTTTTTTTGTTTTTTGTTTCCCTTTGTTTTGTCCTGTGGAGTCACAATACCGTGGAGTAAATGGCAGAGCAAAACCATTCATCTCAAGGCCAAGAAGCAAAAGAAAGAGATAGAAACCAGGGTCCTACCAACCCCTTTCAAGAGCACACCTTTGATGACCCACAAACCTCCCACTAGGCCCTATCTTAAAGCTACCACCACCTCCCAAGAGCACCAAGGTAAGGATCACACCTCTAAAATATGGGCCTTTGATTCAACACAGAAACCAAAGCAGTACTTTATAGACTACTTTGACAAAGATATACTTGACAAATTAAAAGATACACATATAGTATACTATACTTTGGATCTGCAATGTTCCCCAAAACCCCAAGTGTTACAGGCTTGGTCCCTAGGTTGACACTACTGGGAGGTAAAAAACTTAAGAGGTAGGGACTAGTGGGAAGTCTTTAGGTCCCTGGGGAATCCCCTTTAAGAGGGACTGTGGGGGCTGGGATTGTGGCTCATGAGAAAGCACCTGCCTAGCATGTGTGAGGCACTGGGTTCAATCTCAGCGCTGCATATAAATAAATAAAATAAAGGTCCCTTGACAACTAAAAAATATTTTTAAAAAGGCAGGGGAGGGTTTGGGGGATCCAGCACTCTCCCTCTTTTCTTGCTTTTTGGTCATTAGGTAAGTAGTTTCCTTCTGCCATCTGCTTCCACCATGATTTGCCGCTACAGGTTCAAAGCAATAAGGCCAACCAAACATGAACACGGACCTCCAAAACTTTAAACCAAAGTTAACCTTTTCTAAGTTTAATATCTCAGGTATTTTGTTATAGTCACAGAAAGCTAATATATAGCCTGTTCTGTGCCAGAATGACCAAGAACTCACTCAACCCAAAGTTCTGTTCATCTGAATCCAAAGACTGCTGGAACAAGATGCTCACATGCAAATGGAAAAGATTACCAGGAATGGCACATTCCTGGGGCACACACTGCAACAAAAATGATTTTGCAATAGGTGCCCAGCTTATTTTTACTTCATGAGGCTACCCACAAATTCAGGTCTTTCTAGTTTATCTCCTTTGTGTTAGTATTTATTAAAGTGATATCAGCATTTCTTCCTGAAGCTTGCCTCATTTTGTATACACCTAGGCTAGTATTAAATTTTCATTTCATGTTCTCCAGATATCTGGATTCATCAGGAGTCATATATTTCTCTGAGAATCATCAGGCCATTCTCCCTACCCACCATTCTGAGTAGAGGCAGGTTAAGAACTCCCTGTGTCCGCACCCCTATACCAAGCCCTTTTCTCCTTGTAAGCAATTGGTGCATTTTTCAGTTGACATGTCCTAGATTGTTCTAAAAAGAGTAGCCGCCAAAGAAACTATAAAAACAGATGATTCAAAGACTACTCGCATACTGCCGCCAGCCAGCTCATAATTACAAACGCTGGGGTAGGTGGAACATCTGTATACTGAGTCACTCCACTTTTCTGGAAGAGAGAATGTCATTAGTCCTTTTGTTGCATAAACCTTTGCAATCTATTTGCTGGCTTCAGGACCAGTTCACAGAGTACTCTATCTTGAAACTACAACTGATCTCTTCCCCATTCTCACACAAATTAAACGTATGTTGCAGTCATCTTAATTATCAATTGCTTACAGCCTAGACAGCTTTCAGGCTATATTTTGAATAATGACTCTTTCAAAGGCGGGGTGTGTGTGTGTGTGTGTGTGTGTGTGTGTGTGTGTGTGTGTTTTGAAGGGAGAACAAAGCAAGTAGCCTTAAAATCTTGTGATTCTGACCCTGGTTCTCTAATGCCTGGAATACTATTAATATAGGGACATTGCCTTTTGTGGGAACAGATACTAGGAAAAAGTGAAAAGTAAGCAGAAAATCTGTAATCTCAGCAACCCAAAGGCTTGAGGCTAGAGGATTACAAATTCAAGGTGACCCTTGGAAACTTAGCAAGAACATGTGTCAAAATAAAAAATACTGAGGATATAGCTCAGTGGTAAAGCACCCTTGGGTTCAACCTCCAGGACCAAATAACAACAAGAGCCAGGTATGATGATACATGTCTGTAATCCCAGCAACCAAGCAGGCTGAGGCAGAAGCCTCACAAATTCGAGGTCAGTGTGGGAAACTTAGCAAGACCATTACTCAAAATAAAAAATTTTAAAAAGGGCTGAGGATGTAGCTCAACAGTAGAAGGCCCCTGGATTTAATCCCCAGTACCATAAAATAAAATCTAAAAATAAAGCAAAAATAAAAGGAATGCATGATATTGTGCATACTCGGAGGATAAAGCAGGAGGATCATTTGAGCCCAGGAGTTCAAAGCTAGCCTGGGGAATACAGCAAGAATCCATCTCAAAAGAACATGACAAAACAGAAACAAAAAATGCAAAATATACAAAATTTTAATTTCTAAATTTTAGAAATTTAAATCCAAATCTTTAAAAAATAATCTAATTAAATTTTTAATTTAAAATGATCAATAAAAGCATAAAAATCATAAAGCTGAGTGGTGATGAATGCCTATATGTAATCCCATCTACTCAGAAGGCCGAGGGAGAAGGATGTCAAGCTCAAGGCCAGCAACTTAGCAAGACCCTGTCTCACAAAGGGCTAGGGTAGCTCTGTGGTAGAGCCTTGTCTAGCATGCATGAGATTCTGTATTCAAATCAAAATACTGCAAAAATAAATAAATAAAGCCTTATAAAAATATTCACCCATGTTATGGTTTGGATACAAGGTGTTCCCCCAAAGCTCCAGTATTAATGCAGTATGTTTGGAGGTAAAATGTTTGGATTGTGAGCTATTACCTAATCAGTTTATGTAGAATAAATGGGTGGTAACTGTAGGCAGGTTGGGCATGGCTGGAGGAGGTGGGTCACTGGGGATGTACCTTGGAAGGGTACATTTTCTCTGCAGCCCCATCTCTCTGCTTCCTGACCCTACCATGAACTGAGCAGCTTTCCTCTACTGAGCCCTTCTATAATGTGCTGCTGTCTCATCTTGAGCCCAAAGGAAAAGAGTCAGCCATCTATAGACTTGAGACCTCTGAAACCACGAGCCTAAATAAACTTCCTCCTCTAAGCTATTCTTGTCAGGTATTTGACCATCACACCCCAAGATAAGTTTCTCAGTGAGAAGAATTAAACTATTCATGATAAATCAAGAACAGAAGATCTTTGACTTTATATTTCTATCTTTTCCTTACGGAAAGGGAAGCTGAGGCCCAGGAGGGAAGACAACTTGCCCAAGATCAAAGCAGAAGCACTACTGGAACTATGGTTTGAGCCCACTGAGTCTTAGTTTCCGAGAGTAGTCTCAGAAAAAGAGAATTCAGAAAGAAACAGTGGCTCTTTGGAGTATAAGACCTCCATCAGGGGACAAGAGCTTAGCCTGTGGTCTAGTAAAAAGAATATAAACTTTGAAGTCATAAAGATCTTGGTCAGTCGGGTGTGGGGATACAGGCCTGTATTCCCAGCAAGTAGGGAGGCTGAGGCAGGGGGAGACCAGACTTGGAGACGAGACTTGGCAATTTAGTGAGATCCTGTCTCAAAATAAGAAATCAAAAGGGCTGGGGATGTAGCTCAGTTGTAAATAGCCCTTAGGTTCAATTCTCAGTACCTCCCCCTCCCCCCCAAAAATGAAACAAACCTCGTCAAGTCTTAAAGAGGACCAGTGAAGCCATAGTAGCACTGCCTATAATTTAATTTCAACGAGCCTCCACTTTCTAATTTAACTCATAAATTGTAGATTGCAAAAGGATAACCAGTCACATATACTTAGTGCTCCGCCCAGTGTTACTACATATAGAAGTTTCCTTCCTCCCTCTCCTGTCTTTGCATAATCAACATGGTAACAGATCTATTTAACACCAGCTTGATCTCCTTTTGAAGGAGATAGATTTTTTTCCTCTGAAGAATGCAGCCCTAATTTCTTCCCATCATAGCCCAATGTCAAGTGCTAAAGGAAGGACTCCATCTATGCTAGAATTATTAGTCAGGTACAAGGCAGCAGCTTGCTGGCTTCTTCTGGGGGTTAGGTCTATAAAGATGAAGACAGCCACACAATGTGTCTGTTTATGTCCTTATTGGTGACAGTGACTTATACCACATGGCTGACTATACCTAGATGCTAGAGTTGAGGGCTGGGAGATCACAATCTCCAGTTTAACAGGGATTAATTTAGTATCAATTCTATATAATGAAAGGAGGTACACTGCCATCTCGATCTTACACACACATGACATAACATCTTTCATTACAAACAATTAATTCATTGAGAGTTTATATTATTTCTAAAATAGTCTTAAAATACTGGTGCTTTCTTAAGTTATTGTAAAATTTGTGCACTGTCAATGTAATCTGGTGGCCTCTTTATCCTAATTTCAAAGTCTATCAGATTTCAAAAGTGGTCCAAGTTTTCTTTTTGTTCCTTTGTTTTAAATTTTCCTGGCCTCGTCTGATCCTTGAAATCTAGCTTCCTCAGTTTCAACCCACATTGACTGGCTGAAGCTCAGACTTTTAGGAATTAGAGGTACTTCACTAGAGAAAGCAGATAATGGTGAGGGAGGAAAGGAGAGAAAGGGAAGGTATGGGAAATGAGATTAATGACATTATCTTATGTGCATGTACAAAGATGCATGATGAGTCCTGCTATCATGCACTGACAAAATGTTTTAAAAATTAAAAAAAAAATAACACACTGGTAACACTAAAAGAATTCTTACAAAAAAGAATTAAAGATATCTTTTCCATTCTTTAAAAAAAAAATGAAGATAGCCTAGAGATGAGTCTGAAAGCCCTAGGATGACCCCCAGTAAGCCAGCAATGAGAGGACTAGAAGCTATGTAGGTAGCCCTGAGGCCCTGGGATATACTCAGCTTCGTGACCCAGTGAATGCAGAGATCTCTAGGGAAAGTTCTGGAAGCAGGGCGTGCATAGCCAGAGAGAAGTGGAGGCCTACATTTGATGAGTATAGAGATGAGAGAACCATTCTCCATAGTGAAAGTTTGAGGCACACAGCTATGT